GAGACGTCACACGGTAGATGCCATGACTACAACTATTTCTTCTACCATTTGTTTTTCTTTGTATTTTTCTTCTTCTTCTGCTGCTTCCTCCATTGTCTTTGGTAAATACTTTTAGGGCATTATCGCCACCTTCATGCCACCAATGGTAATGACCCAAAAATACTTGATAACTGCCATAACAAAGTCAACAAGACCCACACAATTTGGAAATGGGGATTGTGAGAACCAGTCCAAGTTGTAATTTCAATTTATACAAGTCGCACCTGAATATAAGTCGCAAGGCCAGACAACCTTAAAAAAAAAAAAAAAAAAAAACATGCAACTTAATCACAATCCAAAAAATATGGTAGTTCAATATTTGCCGAACTGGTGTTTACTGTAAAGTGAGTTGAAATGACTTCATTGCTACCATGCAACACTCAAATATCAAGTTTAAGCTTGCAAGCCAAAGCAAAATAAATAAATAAAGAAACCACCCGAATGACAGTTCATATCTTAAAAAAGTGTAAGGTCTGGTCCCTCTTATCTGAATGCACCACTGTTCAGTGTTGGAGTGGGAATCAGCTTGAAGCTTGCACTGACACAAGGGTCCTCCTTTTCGCACATCATCTGTTTACCATCACATTCTGTTTGGCTCATCCTCTCCCCTCTGACCCCTGTGGGACAGAAAAGGTCTGTATTGAGAAGGAAACACACACACACACACACACACACACACACACACACACACACACACACACACACACACACACACAGCCCATTGAGAGGGACTTCGGGAGAGCAGCTTTCTGTTCAAAGAGGAAAGCTCATTTGAGAGTTGAGCGTGATCACAGAACAAATTAGACTTGTCTCTCAAGGCACCACTGTACATTGAAAAAGGGGATCGATGTGAGGGGTGCCTGGGGTGGGGGCTGGTATGGCCTGGCCTGGATGGAATCTTCCGACAGCGCCATTGTGTAACAGCGCTACAGCTTGGAAAGAAGCCTTGAAACTTTAACCCAGTGACTTAACACTGCCACCCCTACAGCTCGAATTGGATCCTCCATTGAATCAGTGCCACAATCCTGCCACTTATGCTCCCAGCGACATGACTGTCATCTGTGGGCAAGCAGCTCAGCATCCCTCAAAGGCCCTTAAAAAAATCCTCCGGTGTGTGCATGCGCATACGCAGCAACAGCCGCACCCACATGCTTCATATGAACACTTTTTTGGGAAGCGCTGCGGCCAAACTCTACTGACAGGCCTTTTCCTGTGACCCAAACATTATGACGATTTACGTATATTGAATCAAGAAAGTCAAATGATAGGAGAAGTTTGTGTCACTGGAATTAATGTGATTACTTACATGCAAAGCTTTCTTACTTGAGAGAAGGGAAGCGGTCAAACGCAAAAGGTGACATCTACATTTTCGGTGAATTGAGTCAAATTCGTTTTTTAATGTTCAATAATTATTTAGCACAGGTATTCCGACTTAAAATCAATCAATCGAGTGGTTCTCAAAATGTGGTATGTCATGTTGTGTTGTTACGTGTTAAATGTTATACTGTAGTGTCTTAAACATTGTTTTTAATCCATTTGAGTCCATTTTAGTTTAGTACAGTGAAGTTGGATTTCACTTTTAGGTGCAATTTTTATTTCACTTTTATATGCAACACATTTTAATAACGATACATCATTATTTAGGTGCAGTGTTAGTTCTAATTGTTCATAATGTTAGAGTGACCAACAATAATAACAAACCGCTGCCTTGTTTTTGATGATTAGCTAATACACTACTGTATTTTAATGGTAGGTGTTGTGGTGGTACTTGGAGAGCCAAGTATTCTTTTTTTTGAGGTGCGAAGGAGTAATTATGTATTTTAGTTGTCATACATTTATATATGAGTGTAAAAAGTGTCAAAGCCATTAAATTAAGCAAGTGAGAAATGGCACTTGTCAGCTTTTGCACTTGAACTCATCACTTGTCAAGAAGAGTCTTCTTCATGTGCTTGTGTGGGATCTCGAGCGGATGTCAAATTAATTAAAGACTAAATTGACATGAATGTGAGTTGTCTGCCTTCCTGTTGCTGCTGCGATTGGCAGGCGATCATTTCAGGGTGACCTCAGAGAGGCTACAGCGTGTGACCCTAAAGCCCTGCAAAGGAGAGGATGTAGACGGGCGTTCGCAAATGACACTGATCAACACAGTTTACTACATTTTTTTTTTTAAATCTGAGATGCAAGTCAACTTTTCAAGATGATGATTACGAATCTGCCGGGGTTTTTTTTTTCTCCAACACGTCAGTTTTTCACATTAATATTTGTTTTTCTTCTTTCTTCTTTCTACCCACAATCTTGCTGCTGTAGACTGTAAATTTCCCCAGTGTGGGACAAATAAAGGATATCTTAGAATCTTAGAATTAATATAATAAAAACATAATATGTAATATTGTCATATTTATAAAGTTAGGGCTGGGTTCAGCAACAGGTGGGATATTTTTCTGAAACGTCATACATATAAATTACAACTCATGATAAATAACGTATTGCACAAGCTTTGGTTCACTGAAAAAAAAATTTCTTGAATGTACTCAATTTTATTACATCTAATGATTGTACGAAATAAAATCATCTGCATCCAGATACATTTTTAAGTAGACTACATCTACTCAACAAATATATCTGATTATTTGATAAAACTAAAATTGAGTAGATACAACACAATTTTTTTCCGTGTAGATCAAACTTAAAAAAATGGAAAATATCTCAAAAACCTCATGTGCTAGAAAAAAAAAAGAGACCTTGTAAATCAGGATCAAAAATACGTTTAGGGACGTACAAAGCCATCTCTGATTCAAAGTTGATGTTGACCAGTGTTATGAGGCGGTGATGCTGATATTGCATTCCTCCATTTAGAAAATTCTAAAAAAATGGAAATCCCCCGGCCCACTTTTTTTTTTAATTACCGCTTCACCATGATATGATTTCCTCTTTGGGGAGAAAATCACATTATTACTTGGACAGCAGCAGATGGAGCTGCATTCTCTCTGTGACACAGCAGTATTGTATGTCTGTCACTAATGGCTCAGGAATGTCACATTAGTCAGGGGCTGCATGTGTGACGCTGCCAACACTAGAGCACTTTGAGGCAGACAACATGATATTCCAAACATGGGATGCACACCCACACGGCGGTGACCTCATTGCCTCAAAGCAACAACGTGATGGACTGCCTCTGCCCCAAAGTATCGAGAGTTGTATTTCAAAACAGCCAGAACAATTCTGCTTTTCATTTGTTGAGAGTGCACTTAGGTAATGCAAGAAAAAAAAGTCCAGATTGATCAATGTTTAATTCACTGGACAGGCTCGCAAGCAGTCGTGATTGTCGCATGTGCCCAAGCACATGTGTCTTCTCTTTCCGGGGTTGTTTACATTGGCCAAGCGAAGTCATGCAATTTGAGATGCAGCTTACTGAATCTGCCCCCCCATACACACACACACACACACACACACACACACACACACACCCACACACACACACACACACACACACACACACACACACACACACATATGCATCTACCTCTCAACACCAGGAGCTATTGCAGGAAACACGCACATTGTTACTTCACCAAGACATGCTGGCGTCAGTGCATGTGGGTCAGGAGGGCAGCGGGGGGATCGCAGACACATTGCGGCCATATGTGCACCCTACATGTTCACCCTCAGCTGAAAGCACTCAGCATTCGCTTCCTCCCAAAGTTCCTCTGAGGTAACAAGAGTTTGTGGAACAGATGGCCGCAAAAGAAATGTGAGGCAGACGTGCTAACCACTTGGGCGCCATGTTGCAGAGATGGATAGATAGAGGAATGAATGGATGAATGGATTGAAGTCCATGTGAAACAAGGGCCGCCCGTTTTCCAAATCTCCCTGAAGGCAACACCTCACATGGATGGATGGATAGAAGGATAGATGGATGGATGGATAGATGAGTAGACTGATAGACACGATAGACATCTGAGGAAAATTTGTTTTTCGATCTTTTGCACATGACTAGTGTTTGTGAAAGGTAAAAAAAATAGGAGTTTGCTTCAATCCCGCCGTCTCATATACACACACGCGCGTGCGCACACACACACACACACACACACACACACACACACACACGCACACACACACACACACACATTTGGAATTTTGAAACGATGTGTGGTCAAGAGCAAAAAAAAAAAAGTTTTTTTTTTCTATTTCTACCAACAAAATTGGTCAATGATATTGGCAATATGGTGTTTAAACAGATGTGGGTGATTCATGATGGGAATTGGTGAAGTATGTACTTACAAATTGCAGGCGTGGTGTTTACTTGCTAGCTGCTCATATGGTAAAAAGCAATCCAGATGAGTTTGACAGCACACACATAAGGCTTGTTAACAAACTTTCGGGTGACAGGGGCTCTCGTGTGGAACTGTGAGCTCCGTAATTAATGGAGCCACATTGATTGGGCCCGATTGAAATCAGCTGTGTCCACTCCCACAGCGGCGGACCCTCCCTCTCACAGTCATCAGCAAAAAAATAAAAATTAAAAATAAAATCAAACTCACTCCTGTTGTGTGCTTTTCAATTTTGTATTTTTGATGAGACTGACGACAGAATTCTGAAGTTTCTGTTTTTACATATAAAAAAACTAATTAGTCACCGTTTCATTTTTGATTGACAAATGAAAAGGGAAAGAATAATAAAGGCAGTTTTTCTTACACTCAACGCCTCCCCTCTTGTACGTGTTTTCCACATGTTCATCTAAGTGTATGCTGACAGCATGGCAGGTGTATGCAGGTGCTCCCCAAATCACTCACCATCCCACAAATCCATCCCCCACTCCCACTAAGGCACACAACTCCATCTTCCCATTGAGAACCTGTCTCACCTGTCCTGATGAACTCATTTGGGGTTGCAAGTTAATACGGTGCCTGGTGAAATGTTGATTAATACCGGAGCGTATTCAAAGACATGATGACAGGATGCATTTTGTTCTACAACAAAGCTTTTATTTACATGTGATGGAGGGGAGGCAAATGCACAAACATCATGAAAAAAAATGCTGAATAAAATTATGTCAAAAAATTAAAAGCACATGCACCATGAAGACACCAGAGAAATTTTGGTGAAGCAAACTGGGTCCTTTGGTCAAGAACATGGGGTGAGTGGAGGTCACCTGTCGCCCACCTTCACAGGCAGCTGTCACAACACACACACACACACACACACACACCACACACACACACATATACATCTTGTATGCATAATAAGGAATGGCATCCACGCATACACACCAAAAACACCCCCAAGCAGCTGCAGCATGGCCAGAGTTCCGGCCCGGCCGGCACCAATGGGAGTTTCCTGGGATTTAACCGCATGTCCAGCTGCTCTCATGTCCTACATGCTCACACTGTTGACAGGCCGCTGCCCATTTGAAATCTCAGTTCTGAAATCAAAAATGCATTCAAGTAGTCGTAGAAGAGTCCTTCGGGTGGAAACAGGGAATGTGGTTCCGTCTAAGAGGTGGGGCTGCTGCATCCCGAGGCGTTGTGTTTGTGCAGCAGAGACATGCGGCTGAAGGTGCGCGAGCAGGAGCCACACTGGTACTTCTTCACTTCCGAGTGTGTCTGCAGGTGTGCCCGCAGGTTGGAGCGGTCGGCGAAGGCCCGGGTACAGTGTTGACAAGCAAACGGGCGCTCGCCTGAAGGAAGGAGAATGCCTTGAGATTAGTGGTGCAAATCAGGTCAAACTATTTTGATAACCGATTCATCGTTTAATTAATGCAGTGGTACTTAAACCTTTTACACCACGTACCACCGAAAAAACACACGTGACACTCCAGGTACCACCATGAAGACAAAAATGGAAGAAATGTTAGTGTAGTAGGCCTAAGTCTTCATTAAAAATTAGACAAGGCTCAACAGTAAATATTATTTGATTTCTACCTCCATGAAAGCAGACTGATTGTCTGTTTTTGTGTTAACACTCTCAGACATTTATTTGCACGCAGCTGCTTTTATTTGGAAAATAATGCTGAACATTTTTGCCTGGTTTCGAAGAAATGTATGCAAATGTAGAACGTTTTTATATTGATTAATTCAAAAACTAACCAACCCAGTCAAGTCAAATCATGTTTGTCACTAAAATACCGAAACTGCAAATTCACTTTTCATAACACTGATATATGAAACAAATACATTGAAAAATAGTTGGATCGTAAGCCAACCTGTGTGGGTGCGGATGTGTCCCCTCAGCAGCCACGGTCTGGAGAAGGCTTTGCCACAGGTGGTGCACACGCACGGCAACGTGTGGGAGCGGATGTGCATCTTCAGGGCGCCCAGGCTGGTGTACTCCTTCGGGCAGTGTTTGCAATGGAAGGCCGGCCTGGACGCAGACGCCTCAGCGGGCAGCGACGGGACACACAGGTGGGACGTCTGGTGGTGGGACAGAGCCGAGAGGCTGGTGTAACTCTTTGCGCAGTACATGCAGTGGTAGACGGCTTGGAGGGCATCCGGGCTCGGGGGGTCCGAAGAACGACCGTTGTCTTCGTCCTCCTCGCCACTGCTGCTGAACGGAGAGCTACTGAGATCAAGAGGCCCGAGTGGTGACGGAGGGAGGGATGCCGGGGCAATCGGGGAAAGGGGAGCAGGCAATGGCGTGAATGGAACTGCGGGGTAGCAGGTGAGGGCAGAGCTGTGGTTCTGAGTCGGAAGAGCAGCCCGTGGGAAGCTTTCCGGGACAAAAGCTGTTGAAAAGAAGTCAGGTTGGATTTCATAAATATATGCATATATCATACATAGTACTTTTATAAGGACCCTAATATGAATTTAATCTAACAACATGCTAATCTTGTTATCATTCTTGGGAGCCTTTCCCACATGCTGCTGCAAAAAAATGTTGGGTGAACTCAAAAATTCAAAGCAACAAGTCAATAACATATTAAGTTGGTGGATTCAACTAAATGTTTCAAGTTTTGCTCTTGTGAGTTTCCATAACAGTTGTCCCTTTTACTGAACCCCAACTTAAAGATCCAAGTAAAAATATTTGCTACACTAATGTTATTGCCTAAACTGTCAGTAATTAACATTTTCAGTTTTTCCAACTTAAAATACAAGTTATGGTTTTACACGGTGTTCAGGGGACGTTAACATGAAAGAATAGCTTGCACAACATACCAGTTTGGCTGTCCAACAACAGGCTTTCTCTGTAGCATGGTTTCTTGCTGGAAAAATACTTCTTGACAAGAAATGACCGAGGCATGTTGTCTTTTCAGAAGCCAAGTTGTAATTCCCACAGAGCACGCTCAGCTGCAGGAAGAGGTTTGTTGAGTTAGAAAGGCCTCGCGCGCACACGACATCCACCCAGGTTAAAAAAAAAATGTGCTGAGGAATCAGTGCACCGTAGTCGCCTCCTCAAATAGTGATCCGCAAGGGAAGCGGCGGAGTGGGTGGGCTGGTCTACGCCCAAAGACACACCCAGCGTGTCCGGGCGCCACCAGCGGCACCCTTCACCGCAGGTGCTCGGTGTGTATGAATGGCTGTTGCAAATCTAATTGTCCATTTCACGCTGCAAATGGGTCACTCATCAACCTGGGAAGACGCACATACAAACGTGAATAAAGGGAACAATGGCTCATTGAAAAAAAAAGTTTGCATCGAGCTCCGTGAGTACGTTTTTTGAGTGCAGCACACAATCTAAATTCAGATTAGATGACTAAAAGTTAGTTTCGTTGAATTTTAGGCGTCCCCAACCAGATTTGGGGTTCAAATGTTTGAATCTGGTAACCGGGCAAAAAAAAACAGCAACAGGCATCACGTCACGCTCGCACTGCATGTGACACCTTTTTTACGATGGCTTTATAGGGTGAACCTGTTGCTCGGGGCGATAACGCACCCTATGAGGAGGAGATTACTGTAGTGAAGAATGTGTCGAAGAGAGAACCTCTGTTCTTTCTGTGCCCCACAATACAACACCCGCAGCGATCTTCTTCTCAGCGGGGAGCGAGACGTCTCAGTTGCGGAGGTGGCGCTTTTGCCGGGAGCTCACCGAAATGGACCCAGCTGACAGAAACAATCAAAAAGGGGCAATCATTAGCCTGGCTCGAAATATTGTGGCTGCAGGTCGCGTGAAATGTGACACAGATCCCTGCAGGGGGGAGTTTTTAGCGCGCAAAAGGTGTGCGCAATTGGAACAAGAAATTGATTTCTTGAGGAATCAAAAACATAAGCCAAGATAGCTCGCTATATTATTTCCATCGGCCGATTTGTATTTGCGCACAACATGCATCAAAATTAAAATCAGGTGCCAGTGTTGTCGGAATGCCGCAGTGGTCCTGCTTAACATTGCAACCGCTGGTTGCAGGGGGAGCTGTGAGTGGGGGGCGGGGTGGGGCTTGCACCTGTCTATGGGTGCCATTGTCCCGGCATGCCCCAAAAAGTTCACACGTCGTTAGACGCTTGTTGACGCCGACGCCAGGGAGACTGGGGGCCAGGGGTCAGCACGCTAATAAAAACAAGGAGCAAATAGCGTGAAAGTCATCCTAGTTGTTCGTCTGCTGTGGTGGTGGACTAAATGACATGGCAAATTCAAGTCATGGAGGGGAGATACACGAGCTGCCCTGTATAATTTGTTCCATTCGATATACTGTACAATCTGTGCAATCCAAGCAGCTCATTTTACAGCCAAAGTAAAAAGAAAGACACAATGGATTTTCACCTGACATACACACACGAAGAGGGAGGGAGTCAAAACAGCTGATTTCACACTATTGCCGGGTCTCTGCTTTGAGGAGAGCAGTTTGACTGCAGGCGCACTGCAGGCAACTTGTGAACCAGACAAGATGTGAAGACTTCAAGTTTTCAACTCAGAACAGATGTTTAGCGCCGTCGCCTCAGGGATGAATGATCTCTCTCTACCCCGTCGCTCTGTTGAGTGTCTCCATCTCAAAGCGATGAGTCACCTTGCTACCGTTGCCAAATGCTTGCTCATGTGGGTTTAGGTTGCTTTTCTTATATACTGTACATACAGTCTATACAATTCTCCCTTTCATAATTTTGCTGCTATAAATTGGGAATTTCTTCATTGTGAGACAAATAAAGGTTTTCTTTTCTTATCTTCTTCATTAATTGTTTAAAAAGTCACACTCAGCCGTTTGTGTCAAATCTTGACAAAGTGCAGCTGCAAAGCGAGTCACATGAGAAAGAACGTGTTTTTTGAATCGGAATCTCTTTCATAAAAAGGCACATGGCGACTTTTCGGGAGCAGATTTGCAAATTCAAATAAGTTTCATACTTCACGGAAGACTCAGCATTTATCAGTTTAGTGGAGATGTATACACTGTTAAAACACACAATTTACATATTTTGGGGGGAGGGGAATGGGGGGCTAAAACTGTAATTTCAGTTGGAACAACTTTAAATGAGAAAGTATTGACATTTCTGTCAACAATTTCCTGAGCTGTTTTTACTCATATCTTGAAGTTGGGGTGCAATCCAAGGGACAATCACTTCTGGTGAATATTTTTTTTCTTTGTTGAAAATGCATGAAAGCCAACTTTCACATTAGCAGACTCAAAGTGCTATCAAAGTTTAGTGTCTTGAAGTGTCTTGAGCTGGCACATCTTTCAGATTTTAAGATGGGCAAGAGATTTAAATGTCTCACGTTTTGCTGTTGTGAAAAATGGCTTTCTCGCATTTCACAACAAATATGAATTGTCCCTTTTATTGAACCCCAACGCCAAGTTAAAGTCAAAAGAATTTGCTTGCTTTCTTATGCAAATGTTGCCATAAAGTTTTTCCAACTTAAATCGTGGTTTTAGGCCCCCCAAAACAGTGTACAATTCTCATATCTGTGCTATTTTCCGTTCAGAAAGAAGTCGTCGTCCACCTTGAGTTGGGACAACTGCTTTTGTGCACGTTGCAAACTCCCAAGTGATCTTTAAAAACAGATGGCTCTTGAATAATCAAGTGGCATTGTGATCATTCAGCATATTCAGGCAACGACCACTCAGTCAGCATTTCCATTTGCCACCTTGTCTCTCAGATGATGGTAGAGTCGGCCCTCGTTATGTGATTGCCGCATTGAATGTGAAACAAGACGAGGACATCTCGTTGGCTGTGTTCAAGTGGAGCTCAGCTGGACGCCACCTCTCAAATGTCTGCTTCAGATCTTATCTACACAGTAACAATAGACGGGCTGCTATACAGAAGTGTGTCGTCAACGTTTGTTGTTTTTGCATACGTATGCATATGCATGAGTGTTTCTGCGCGGTTCAGCGGTGTGTGAAGCCAGCAGGAGCAAGATAAAGTGATCCCCGAGGAATGCCACGCACACTCCCACATGCAGAGTACAGCCATCTCCACTCCAAACATGCGTGCACTGTGCTCGTCTTATCTCTGAGATGAGGGAAGAAATTGCAACCCGAGTTCACAATATTAAAACCGGGATGAGATGATTTACAGTCCATAATTTACCATTCGAAATGAATGGTAATGTCATGAACCAAACAAAACATTGTTTGGAGAAATAGTTTGGAACCTCAAACGTAGTTCAAAACCCTACTTTTAAACTGTAACGATAATTTAAAACACTACTCTGGAACCCGAAACCTAGTTTAATACCCCACTTTTTTAACTCGAATTTAAAGATACTTTGAGACCATAATCCTAATTTAAAACCTTACTTTGAAAGTGTAACCCTAGTTTCAAACTCAACTTTGAAACCCTAACCCTTGTTTGAAACCCTACTGTGAAACCCTAACCATAGTTTGGAACCCTACTTTGAAACCATAACCATAGTTTGAAAGCATACTTTGAATCCCTAAACCTAGTTTAAAACCCTACATTGAAACTCTAATCCTAGTTTGAAACCCTAGCCAGAGATTCAAACCCTACTTTGAAACCCTAACCCTAGTTTGAAACCTTACTGTGAAACCCTAACACCTAGTTTTAACCCGTTTTTCGGCAATTGTGCCAACTTAGCCAAACTAAAAATTCATTCTTACCTTTGTGACTCTCACAGACTGTTTCTCTTTCATTTACTGTCAGTAAATGTGATGAATCAGTACTTCGACTTTTACTGCTTTGTACACAAATATCTGCACTTCGAATTAATGGGATTGCTTTTTCCAAATCAGCTATAAAGTGGCAGCTGGAGCATTTACTCTAATATCTACAAAAAAAAAAAAAAAACGTTTTTACAAATGGATTGTATGACAACAATGCCCGTGAACGGACAACTACTTTAAAAGGACACTCTAGGGGTGTTCACACGGCAACTTTTACTCTGGTGTAGCACCGGGACTGCCCCCCGTAGAGCGTTCACACGTACAAAGTTATACCGGTGTAGCCCCTGAAAACAGCTTAAACTGGAGCAAATTTAACTCTGCTCAGGAGGTGGTTTAAAAATTTACTCCGGAGTAAATGCTAGTTTGCGAGGCAGCACCGACATGAAATGGGTCGTGTGAACGCTGCAGGGGTAGACTCGCTACGCGTGAGAAGAGTTGATTACATAAGAGTATTGAATGAGTTGCTTTCGTGCTCTGTTGTACTTCCGTCATCTTTCCCTTCTCCCTCTCATCATTTTACGGTGTCTGATAGACCACAGCATTGATTTGTCTGGCGAAGTATAAACCACGGTTTTTCGATATGTCACAAACAAGGCGGGGAAAAAGAAGTACACTTTACGCATGCACATGTTGTATTTCCGTACTGCACGGCCGCAGAAACTGCTGTGTGAACGCAAGTGGGGGTTAAAACGCTTCTCTTTAGTAAGCAGCTTTTTACATGTGAAAGCTCCACGAAATTTACACTGTTGTAAGATATATAGCAACAAAATACGTCGGTGCAGCACCGATGCAAATGTGTGCCGTGTGAACACCTCTTTTGTGTGCTTCCGACCAAAATTTCAACTAAGATGTGGACTGCAACGCAGTAGCAAGTCAACCATGGGAAATTGCATCACACGTGTTGAACGATGAATTTGTTCGTGGCTCTCTTCAAGTTAGACGAATACCCCGGTCACGAAAGGAACATTTTTTTCAACAAGTGAAACCTTTCTTCAGACCTCATACAACGTCTCGGAAATTTGAAATAACGTTGACCATAACGGAACACTTTGGAGGTCAACATTCACCAGACGAGCAAACACCTCTACGTTACTTTTACAGTGCACACAAATAGATGAATTTGAATACGTCCGTCAGCGGCAGATCATTAATGACACGATGCAATGTTTGCTATTTGGTCATCATTCTGTTGCTTCATGTCAAACACTCAACGTTAATACTGGTTGTGTTACATAGCAGCAATCATCACACAGTTCAACATTGTCCTCAGAGGCAAACCTTTTTAGAATGTGATGACAGTTTTTCAGTTATGGAAAACTCATGAAATACAAAGGTCTAAAGGTGCTATTTTCATCCCCTGCGCAAATTTAGTGCAAAGCGAGCTCCAACTGTGTGCTTGGGGTGAAATTTTCTTTCCCTTGGTATTGTCGTAGATGCACGCAGGTAAAAATGGAGTTTGTGCCATTGTGGGAGTGAACACAGCCGGCTTTTTTCTCGACCATTGGAAGCGTCTCCCATCATTATCTTTTAAAAATGAACATAGGGCAGAAACGTGGTCTTCATGGTCGAAGCATGACTGTCTGTGATTCATGCAGAACGGCATGCGCAAAGTACATTCAAAAGGAACTGCAAGAAAAGCTCCACTTGTGGATGATGTCAAGTTGGTCACTGGCCCCAACTCCCATCCCAATACTTGTGCTGCAGTGAGAAGAGTGCTTTAAAAATATATATTACAGATGATAATTATAATTTGTTCAATTAATTTCCATAATGATTTAGACAGATTTTCCTCTGTTATTGTCATATGTCTGAATGAAATACGATGACATCCACGACACACTGTGTGTTGAAAAAACCCCACCAAAATTGCATGACACCACCTGTGCCACAAATTAGACCTGCTTTGACCTGGTCTAATGTCTTGCCCACTTTCTGCCAACAAATTGTCAGGTGCGCTGACGGTATGTGATAGAAAATGCTGGAACACTCAGAAACGTGCAGATTGGTCTGCCCAATTCCCCAAACACAGCAAACTTGACTTGTCTCTTCACATCAAGCGCATGTGCGCCTGTCTATGAAAATAGAGCACATATGCCGCATTCCCATTACAGGTTCAGGAACGGTGTCGTTGCTTGTCATTTACAAACAGGCAACAATCAATTGAGGCTGGATCGATTGAATAGTGCATATTTGAAGCCAGTCCATTCATTCATTTCCAAATATACCAACCAGCCATCCAAGATATCTGTTTTGTAAAGTTATGTTATGTAACATAATTCCTAGCTTTAAATCAAAGCATGGGCTTTTTGCATTATTGTCATTTTGTACCCCAAAAGTATTATTTTTAAAGGTGTATTTTATTTAATGTTAGATTTTATGAAATAAATAACCAATCAATCGATCAAAATTCAAAAAGTTATCATTTTCTCTGCGGTTGGGTTCATGATTGATCATTATTCATCAAGAGGCCCCTTGTGTTTCATTTTCTGCCTGTCTGGCGCCACTCAGTGTTGAAAGAGCGAATAGCGGCAACAGAAATAAATTCAAAACCAACCTCAAGAGAGCAGCCTATGGATAGAAAATGGATGAAACGACGAATTGAGGAATTTACTCAGTTGTTTTCACAAAGATAAAAAAAAAAAATAATAATAATAATGATAAATAAAATAATTTAGGTAACATGACTGAGCTGAGATTTTTACTTTTATTTATTTAATATGCAACAAATAACTGTTCAGGAAACTTAATTCACTAATAATAATACGAAAAAAATGCAGTTAATGTATTACATTGCAGGTAATGCACTGATACATTTTATTTCCCAGGGACACAAATGGCACTCATAAGTAGAATGGACTGGATACAAAAGAGCTCATATTCTTTTCTAATGAAGACAAAGTCATAAAGGCACAATTGGCACAAAATCTGCTGCAAATAACATAAAAGACTCCACAAAATCTCGACAAAGAAAACATTTATTTCAGTTTTTGTAACAAACCAACAGATTATGTCATGCAACTGATGGACAAAATCCAAGCAGCACAACAACAAAAGCATCTGAGCGACCTAAAAAAAAAAAAAGAAAAGGGGAAAAAAAAAGAAACACAACCCTGGTTGCTGTCAGATTCTTCATTCTGTATAAAAGAGAAAAAAACACATTTTGAATCATGAAGAAAAACTCTGTTCGGTAATGAAGAAGTGTGATTTTTTTTCTTTTTTTACGATTTTATGAAAGTTTACAGGTATCATGACAAAATGCTTCACTTGCTTCAGTCAAAATACTTGAAGGATCAAGAATTACAGTATACTTACCACTACTGATGGGGCAATGAAGATTCATGATTTTTATATGATCTTTTTTACTCCTCTGGATGGTGCTCTTGGTTTAAAGATACAGGGTAGTGCAATGGAAATTTATGACATTTCCACTTAAACCAAGAGTGGCGCCTACAAGAGTAAAAAATGACTAGAAGTGCTTCATGAAGCTTCATTTCTCCATCACTATTTAGCATCATATTTTCACAGCCCTTTTAATTTCACCCATTTGATTTATTTAATTATCTGATCTGTGCTTGTGACACACAGGCTATGCCAAATGGAGAATGGCTCGCGTCACAATGAAAACCAGTTGTGGAACTGTTACCCCTTACCTCTGACACTGAGCATGGTGGAACATTCGGATCGGCCCAAGGCGTTCTCTGCTGTGACAGTGTACTTGCCCACATCTTTAGAGCCAACGCTGAGGATCAACATGGAGCAAACTCCACAGGTGTTGGAGATGTAATAGTTGGTGTTTGTGTTCAGGTTGACGTGATCTCGATACCACGTGATTCGAGGTTTGGGGTTCCCTGTAACAGCGCAGCTCATGTAGCATTCGTAGCCTTTTGGTGCTGCATGCAGCTTCAGTGGTACGATGAAATCCGGAGCACATCGCAGGTCACGTTCTTCGCGGTTCGGTAATGTCAGTGAAAGCTTTTCTGCAAAACATGAATGAGTTGTGATAAAATGAAGTCAAGTACTGAGGTGCTGTTTGCACTGTTGCAATTTAGAATTAGTCAGGGAGCGTTCCACTTGATTCACCAGATGAAGCGGAACATATTTTTTTTCTCAACGCACTAAAAACATATTTTTATATTGCATACAGATTTTATTATATCATCAATAATGATATACCATATCAATATTTGTTGGTGTGTGTTGCTTTTTGACTCTGTTGTTGCCCTCTCACACTGTCTTCCTCTGCTATAGAAACAGCAGAGTGACTATTAATTCGTTCAATCAAGTTTGAGCATAAACATGCACGTGACTCCCAAAAAATGACCTGAGCCTGGTTCCTAAACAGAAGTATTTTCAGTGTCGAATCACATTATTCACTATTTTTTGACTATATGGTTTACTATATTTGTGTGCTGCAGGTTACTTTGTTTCATCAAAAACAAAGCAATCCACATCCCAAAAACGCCAATAAAAAGCATGTTTTTTTTCTTGTTATCAATTTTTCTGAAAGAAAAAAAAAATGAAGATACGGTGAACCCTTGTTACTCACAGGGGATATCGACAGAACCCCCGCTGTGAATAGTGAATATCTGTGAATAATTGACACCCACTCTAAAAAGTTTGTCATTGTCTTTCGATGTGACAACATGGTGATGGGAAAATGAAGCTTCATGAAGCACTTGTGATATATTTTTTTTATTCCTCCAGATCAAGGGTGTCGAAACTGGGTCCTCAGGGGTTGCTGTCCTGCCTCTTTTCCATCGCTCCCTGCTGCAACATACCTGATTCAAAATTATCAGCTAATCAGCAAGCTCTGAAGAAGCTTGATCACGATCCTGACCAATTGAATCAGGTGTGTTGCAGCAGGGAGAGATGAAAAACAGGCAGGACAAAGGCTCTTGAGGACCGGAGTTGGACATGCCTGCTCCAGTTGGTGCTGTTGGTTTAAAGGTAAAGGCTCGTGCAATGCAACTTTATTATGTTTCCACTGCATCATTAAACCAAGAGTTTCATCTGGAGGAATCCAAAATTATCACAAGTGCTTCATGAACCTTCATTTGTCCATCACTACCACAACAAGGTAAAGCATTTTTGTTCACTTAGACACGGCTATGGATAGTCTAAAAAATCCTCCTCTCACTTCAACATAGTTCAATTGCCCAAAGCTCTATTTTTATATAAAACATGCCATTGGCCTGAGCACAAAAACATGGGTTTAGTATAGCTTTCCATAAAAATCAAGAATTTGTTCATGTCAAACCGTGAGTAGACGAGGGTCCGCTGTATGTGCTTTTTGGTGGACAGCATCGCATTTGATCTACGGGGTAGGTAGGTGATCCTGGGTTGTATGTCGCACATACCTTTCTTTCTCCCCACCGCCCAGGTGGGTGACTCAGAAGGTGTGGACACACCCATGTCATTCTTGGCATAGACCCGAAAATGGTATTCCCTCCCGGGCATGATATTACAAACAGTGAACTTGTTATTGAAGAGTCTGTCGGCCACTGTGATCCACGTGTGTTTGGTCGAGTCCAGTTTGGAAATTGTGTAATGCAATCGGTCATCAAGCTTCTCATCAGGAGAAGGTTGCCAAGTCACTTGCACTGTTCCTGGCACATTTTCCTCTATTTCTACTGGTCCAGGAGGCTTAGGATCATCTGCAAGCACGTTTAGACAGACTGTATAAAAGTGACGCAGTATTTAATAGAAGAGCACTCTACATGCTGCCTTACAGCATGATCATTTTTACCTGTGACCCTGACTTCTGTACTGAAAGTCTCCTGTCCTGCCAAATTTCTCACCAAAATGGAGTAGATGCCAGAATCAGAGCGTTCTGACGAAGGGATCAACATCTGTGAAGCTCCATCTGAGTTACTCACTGTGACTCGCTTTGACACAGGCCCATTGTCCTTGAGCCACATGATGTCTGGTGGTGGGGAAGCCTTTGGAAAGTGGCATTAGTTATATCATAGGAATGACATCACAGAATATTATGTTGACTTGGATTTTTAAAGTCCAAGTCTAAGACATGTTAAAAGATTGATTCTCACCTCAAAGTTTATGGTCACCCTGACGGTGTTTCCTGCCCTCACCACCACAAATGTTTTCATCTTTTTAGTTGTGAACTTTGGTCTCACTACAAAAAAAAAAGAAAAAAAAATCTCTCATTGAAGCAAGGTTTAAATGACTAATAACAAAGGTTTGTTGAATTTACCTAATTTGATTTCTTCAAGTGGTTGCACAAAATAAAAGTATCTGTTTCCAAATATATTTCTTAAAATATGTATCCAGTTGGTTTGATTTTGTGCAGCAAATAAAATTCAACATACCATGTTTTCCAGTGAATGACACTTTTGGTAATGAAATTATCCAATAATTGCAGAGACACACAAAAATGTCAACGTTTTCGAAACGTTTTTTAAAATTATGTTCTAGCCTTCCACAGAAAAAAAATGTTATGAATTAATCAATTTGATTTCGTCAAGTGGTTGCATAAAATTAAATCATCTGTATCTAGATACATTTTTTAAATAGATGTATAATCTCTGAATATATCTGGATCCAGGTGAATATTTTGTGCTCCCACGTAACAAAATAAAGTAAATTTAGCAGATGCCATTTTGAAAATCGTCTACAATGCCAAAACGAATCAGACAGTCTGAGACATTGCTTCCAGAAATTACTTCCAGAAATTGTCTTTTTATCTGAAAATTAAGTATGAGTGAAGAAGAATACCAAGGGGCGGCATGGCAAGGACATAATTGGACAGCTCCTCAGTTTGGCCTTCTCCTCCATCATTGGTTGCAATGACTCTGACCCAGTACATATCCATTGCCCTCAGGCCTTTTACAGTGTAGGTGGTGGTGATGGTGAAGCTTCGTGACCATTCTAGGCACTGCGCATTCCTTATCTCCACAAAATATCCCTTCGCTTCATCCTCTATGTCAGGTTTGTCTTTCGGTTTTGTCCAGCTCAAGACAAAGTGGTTGTAAGAAGTTTCTGTCACTTTTAAACCAATAACTTTCCCAGGGGGCTCTGCGGATAACAAGAAACATGTCATTTTAGTTAAAACAAATTAAAGAGCAAGACGAATATTTGGAGGTTTATGGATTCATTTCAATTGCCTCACTTACTTTTGGGATCCCGAGCAAAGACAAAGTCACAAGGGTTGCTAAATTCCCCAGGTCCCGAAAGGTTCACAGCCAAAACTCTGAATTCATATTCCATACCTGCCACAACATCTTTCACTGCACATTTCTTCTCTGGGAATACAACAACACGGTTATCGTAAACGTTACAAACACTTACAACTTCAACAAAATGAAACATGAACCAACCTTTTATTGGCTCCATTGAAGCATTGACCCCAGTCCAGAGATTGCTTCCTTTTTTGCGTTTTTCCACCATGTAGCCAATAATTTGTGAGCCTCCCGTGTTACTTGGTGCAGTCCAAGAAAGGTTGATGCAGTCGTCAAAAGCACTGACCACTTTTGGAGGTGCAGGTGCACTGGGGAACGCTTTTGTCAGGTCGCGGGGAAACACATATATGTTTTTAATTAGAGCGAAAAAACACTTAACATTTTTGTGTAGATTTGTGCTCGTCCATTAGTCCGTGCATTAAATACATTTCAATTCTTCCAATTTGCTAAATAAGTCACATTCTCACATAAGCCTCCTTGTAGCATGGTCCACTGTCTTATCACTTTCATTTGGGAAATATGGAAAGTCCCTTAGTGCTTAGGTCATCCCCCCACTCCCCCCCAAAAACAAAACAAAAACTTGTAAAGAGCTTATTTGGCAGCAGGGGGTGCTGTTATATTTCCACTTCATAAACACTGAATTCTCTGCGATGATTGCTTTTGCTCGTTATGACTGGGAGGCCTTTAAATCATTTGGATTGCTTCTGCATCATTATACTGCAACAGTCTTTTGGAAACAGCAGATTTATTCAAATTATTGTTGTCAAAGGACCTCAGGAAGTTATATTAGGTAGCTTTGCAATTTGACAAACTGGCTAGTGTGCATAGCATTAGCATGTATTGCTTCATTTAATTTTTTACAATTTTTTTTTTTAACAATATTTTTATTTTTTATTTTTTTAACTTTAGGGACCTGTTATAAAAACAGTCTAGAACAGGGATGAGCAGCTGGCAGGCGCCCGAGACCACACTGAGTGGTTCATTCATTCATCCATTCATTTTCTGAACCGCTTGATCCTCACTAGGGTCGCGGGGGGTGCTG